ATATATATATATATATATATATATATATATATATATAGGTATAAGAAACAAATTATTAGTTCCAAACAGGAACGGTGCACAGTGAGTATTACCACTGCATGACTAAAAAGAATAACGTATGAACTCTTAATTAACAACCCGAAAGCCATTAGCTATCCAAAACAGGAATTACTACTGTACTCATTTCTTTACATAAACATAAACGGCGCAACATATAAGTTCCACACGAATGTTTCCATACCTGGATTTCGCAAACAGAAACAAGTGCCGCTACAGATAATTCGCGAAGCTTCATAGCACGACAAGATAGTAAAAATTTTAGAAGTGGAAGGACATAAGTAGAAAGTGGATAAATGTTGGTGTGTCGTGGAGAGGGGAAAAGGTGGACGAGAAGAACCAAAACAGCGAACATTCTCAGCTGCGAAATGGATTTTTCGTTTTCATAAAACTGTTGGTGTAACAAATCATGCAATGATGGAAACCTAAAATATTCGAATTCAATTTATTTTATTTTAATTCTTTCATTGTTTTAGTTTGCTGAGGCGTCTAACATGATCATACAAAAATATTCTCATATTCTGATTACCTGCACAATTTTAAGGAATTATTTATACTAGCTAAAATTAAAAACGTAGTATTGCTGGCGATGACAAACACTACTATCTACTATTTGTCCAGGTATGTTACATTTTGCTTGCGATAGTCTGAAATATTGTGATAAAATTCCTAAGTAAATTTAAGAGAGAAGAGAAAGAAATTTCAACATTAAATAATCAACTATTATTGTTAGTGAATGTCAAATTTCATCTGACTTGGCCAACCTCGTAAAGAATTCAAAAGAACTCAAGCGATTTTTTTCATGTGGACGAAGTGAGAGTTGTATGCTTCGAGGAACACCAAACATCCGATTAATCAGTGCAGCGAACAGCTGTGATGCAGCACTTCGTACTGCCCAACTATTAGAACCAAAACAAACGAAACAAACGTTCACTGCAGGTTCTATATAGCGTAGAACTGCTTCTGATAGGTGACTGTTCAGAAAAACAGCTCTCATAATATTAATACTGTGAACTCTGAAATCTCGGGAATTTCCAAGAAAAATAAACCTTAAAAAGATCCATTAGTGATTTAAGTACAATGTAAAGACCGGAACTAATCATTTATTTGACTACTAAAGTGCAATTTTTGGTATCAAAATCTTTCGCGCGACTCAGCCATGACGAGAGAAAGAATATACCAAAATATTTTTGAAATTTAAACTAGCTGATGACAAGCTTCAACGTACCGACTGGCTAAAATCAAACGATTTAATATTTCATAACAATGGTGATGAACACCCATAAAAAAGAGTTGCTAAGTCTGATACGTTGCCAAAATAATACAACCACTCTAATAGAGAATCCAACAGAAAAACTCACTGTGCTTTATATGATCTTCCGTTATTTTCAAGTATAGATATCATCGTTGTTTTCAGACATTGTCTATTATTTGTGATCGGTTCCTTTGCAAGAATTGAAGCAATCAAATGTGGCAAACCAGCACTTCGACGTGTTGCACACAACACGTCTGAAAAACCAATACAGAGCACTACAAAACATGAACAGCATATGTTTTTTGTCAACACTGGAAACACCTTTAAAAAAATCAAAGTAAATTAAGCGTCATACAAAGTCTGAACTTATCATCTACTCTAGCTAAAACATATAATGTTGGCATCATAGTTACGCAATTTTGAATTTGACATAAGTCAGTAACATATGTTGAAATATTATCAGACAGGACTTAAAATTGAAATATAGCTGAATTCAAAATTTTTTGCAGTAAATCTTGGTCTCTAAAGCAGTCATTACTCTTACTGACATCAACCTACAGAGTTAATTCATAATTCAAACCATACGAGTTACGACAAACATACAGTAAAAAAAAACCAACTCTTTTTGCTATCAATTAAATCAATAATTTGCTTAATCCAAGCCTCTGGCTGAGGTAAATCTATAAATTCTGGACTGCCAGCTAAGGCAAACGACCAAAGTTTTGCACATAATGCTTCGAATCCCTCAACTGCTGCCTCTACAGCACCACAGTGTTTACATTCCGTTAGCTGTCGCCAATAATAGTTGCATATACATTGTACAGTTTGAGAAGAAAGTACAGAATTTCTGAGCCACTAAAATAAACCTAATTCCACGGATTTTAAAATAAGAACTTTAAGCACAGCTGAAATAATTTTCTTCCCTGAATGAGAATAATATATCATTTGTAGGATCTAATATCATTTCATAAACGACGCAATTTCAGAGGCGCATTGGGAATATTTCGTATCAACAGTGAAAGTGGGATTTCCACAAATCAAAAGGGGAAAAAAAGAAAAGTTAAGAAAAAAGACTTCGAAGACTGCAAAGTGAGAAAGTCAAAAGGTATGCGATAACAAACCTTCGTAATTATTATGTGAAATATTGCAGAAACATATTTGTGTGAACGCCAACAACTTGCTAGTAAGGCCTGACAGAAATCTATACTTTCCTTCGATTTATCGAAGTCTTTAATATTCACTAAAAATGAACCTTACATTTTTCAACATTTATCAAAATCGATCAACCTGGAGCACTCAACATGGTTCATTTCATAAAAACCCGGTGCAAAATTCAAAACAAATGTTCAAAATCAGAAGCTTCAAGAATTTCAAAAAATATGCTTGAATGACTCACCAATGATATTTATATGATCATCAGGAACGAAACCTTCCGGCGACATGCTGTTTACAACGGGCGCTACCAACTCACTTATTTGGAAACACATCGGTAACAAATCATGGTTAACCAACGTAACACACCAATCATTCTTTCTAAATTGATATCAAACAGAACATATAACAAAAAAGGAAACAAAGGAAATGATAATAACTAAAAACAACGTTCAGTGAATGTTTCGAAAAGTAAAAACATAGAGCTACAGCGCTCCTGTGATAATGTTTGGCAGCTGGAAAGATTGAACATTATGAATCTCTTTAATCTCATCAAGTAAGAGACATAAACACGAAAGCGTTAGCATATCGAGAGGTCACAGCCCAAAAATTTAGGTAAAATAAGACAAGAAAAATCTTAATGCACACAGTAATCTTACAGAGTAGACTGTAAATCGAGAAGTTCCAGTGCTACACTGATTGCACTTAGTATGGAATAAATGAAGCCTTGGTTGGTTGCTATCATTTGAAAATCCTGCGAGATGAGTTTTACTCGATCTTTGCACAGATTAAGAAGATACTGAAAAACATTCTGCAAGTTGTCGGGGTTTTTTTTAAGATAAAAGCGCAAGCGATAACTGGACGTGAGTGTGGACAGTGACCGAATGGAGAACAACTGCTGCTTTGTTTCTGCGAAATATGAAGCAAAATCCTGCAAATTTAGATCTTTTGTATCTAAAATAATAGCAATTGTTTTAGACAGAAATGTTTTAAACAGAAATTAGCAGGAAAGATGCATTAACTATGGTGCAGAGAAATTATTCTACTCATTTGGAACTTCGTATGATGGGACAAAACATGTTAAGAAATATATGTCAATTTACATGCTTCATATTCTAATTAAGTTCGAAGTTGATTGCAACAATTAGATTTGCACTACATTTTCGAGAAGATCAAGAGCTCACAAAATTGTGGAATTCGAAAAATGATGAACACAGTAAACGAAGAGCTGAAATTTGACACAGCTGGTATGAGTCATCCAAACAACATATTACACGACAAATCTGTTCCTCTGTTGGTTTCAGTTTTGATGACAAAAACTTGAAGAACATATCTGAAAAGTTCTTTAAAGTCCATCAAAATCAAATTTGAGAAAAATATATTTAAATCATCAATATAGTCCAGCTGTTAAGTCATACATATTTCTAGAACAAGAAATCTTCGAACACTTAACCTCGGAAACAAGATCTGGATAATCTTATAATACACAAATATGAAAAGAACTAATTGATACATTAAATCAAAAAAAATTCTTCGTTGGCCAAAAAGATGTAATGTAACCCAATGTTGGTTAACTAAGACAGACTATCAAAAATACAGCATAATGGATGATCAACCTAACGATTTCAATTTTTTTCCGGAATTGTAAATACAGGATGATATGCACCCAGCTGTTCAACCAATGATGTAAGTGTTGAAAAACGAGAACTCTGGAGACAAAAACTCATGTAATTAGCCACTGTGTTGCTGATTTAAATCTGCTATTCTGAATTTTTAAATGGATTTAATTTCAAATAAATACCTTTGCTATCGTTAGCTAAGTAGTTCTCCAGAAAAAGATATTCCAGCATTTGAAGAGCCATTATACGCCTGCTAAAGTTTGCGTATTGTACTAAATTTTGGAAGCACAAATTATGCAACCAGCAGATAAACTCCACATATGGTTTCAATTCGCTTTCATCATTACCATTTTTCAAAATATTTTGGCCATTTTCACGAATTCGAATTAATATCTGAACAAAATCGTCAACAGATGAAATTAATGGAAAGCTGAAATAAAATATGAATGTCAAAAACGAGATGAAATTTCTCCAGTATGTGAAGCTGTAATGAAGTTCCTTTTGAGTAAGACCTGACTGCAATAAAGGATATAGAGAGCACAAATCGGAATATGCTTCTATACGAAACATAGTTCTGATCTTTTACAATTTTTTCTAACTTGAAATGGCAACAGTATTTCATCTAGATCAGGTGTGAAGTACACCTGAATTAAACGAACAAGAATATAGTATCACTCAATTCTTCATGGTTGTAAAATTAAGTGCTTCATAATTTAGCCACTCAAATAATACTGCAAAATCTTGTTGAAGCCAAGTAGACTGTAGAAGGCTGTAATTTTCAAATATCCCAAAACTAAATCAGATGAAAAATGAGAATGAAATAATTATAATGACGGTATTTACCTTTTTCAAACCAGATAATATTGTCATTCTGATAGCAGGTGACTGTTCGGCCATATTCGTTGCCAAAAAGCATTTACATAGCAACAACTGGCGGGTAGGAATTGACGCTGTCAACTTGGGATGATTACAAATCAAACTCCAAGCCATTAAACGAATCTAAACGTTACAGAGGGTCAACCAGAAAATGAGTACGCGATTCCTGTCAAGCTTCATTATTAATGTCAATCATCGCTTGATGAGGAATACTATGACTTTGAGTGTTAAGCTTTATTTCACATTTCATCATTTGCATTCAAGACGACAGGTTAAACATCTAACAAAGCAGCTGACTAATGCTGGTAACTGATACGGATTCATTACTGAAGATAGCAAAATAGAAAGAAAAAGTAACAATTCTATGGTTTTTTTCCTGCAAAATTAATATTTACAAATGAATTAAAAATTTATATTCTTCACCTGTGTAGTGGCATTTAATAGCGCAGAAATTATTACTCTTTCATCAGTGAATGAAGTCCATTCCAGAAGATTTCCGTTCCCTTTCTGGTGGAAAAGACAAAAGTTAGCAATATAAAGTGATGTTTCAAGGCTGATTACATCATGTACCCTGTCTGAAATATTTAGATATCCATTCTCAATATTTATTTCGAATCATTCACAGTCATTTGCTCAGTCTAAACACGTTTTCAACACTTTCGCTCTTTAATTAAATTTTGTTAGGGTTTGAGCAGTTATAATGAGATCATTTTGCCTAAAAGTACACTGAAACAGATTTGAAAATGATTAGAAATAAAATACAAGCAAACCAGTTTGAAATATTTTCAGTTCTTCAACTATCCAATCCAAAATAAGGGGATTTTTTGAAAATTCAGGCAGCAATCGTTTTTGAACAGCACTGCGAATTGCTTTTACTGGTGACTGAAGTGATGCCCGTAATAAATTACCGTGCAGCTGAAGTCGATCTGAACTGTCGAAATTCCTGACAACATCAAAAGTAATGAGTTTGCTGACCTGCAGTATTACGTTAAGTGAAAGGGGGTTAAATAAATGTATAAGTAAAAAACATGTCCATCTGTTTTTCTTTTTTCTGCACATAATACATACTATGGTTTCTGATAAAGTTTTTTACACAGAAAGTATATAGTAACTGAGAAATAGTGCGAAAGAAAAAAACATTTGAAGCTTAAATTCTTAAAGATTCTGAATATTGTTTGCTTACCACAGCACTTAAAGTTGGGTTCGATAATGAAGTATATAACTCTTTACAGAAGTTCTCCGTGAGACCTTCCGAAAATGATGCCACTATTTTGTTATATGCTAGCTGAAAGATATAATACAAGAGAAGTATTAGTGAACGAAAAGTTCTGTCACAATCGTACTTGAATTGATAAAACCCCTGAGGACAACAATTCTAAACAGAATACTTTCCAGACAACATCTACATGCTACGTATCTAACGATGTTGTAGATCTTGATGAAACAAAAATTTTCCAAAGAAACATACGATACATTGATAGCGACCACGACAAAACGACGGTGAATTAATCAGGAATTTTCCAACACTTTTAGCCCATGAAGAAAGAGGACCATTAGGCATACATCTTACAAGATGCAATTTCATCAGTGATTCGAAAATGCTAACACAGTCGTGACATACCGCCTCCGAAACATAGTCCCAAAATCTGCAGACAAAATCAAGCAGTTTATCTTCCTCGCATTCTTTTAATACCCATTTTTCTTCTCTGAAACATGCTAATTTTACCCTTAATTTTCGACCAGCTATTCAGCTGAGTTTTTCACTTTTCAGTTTATGAAGATTTAAGAACATTTCACTTCCAGACATAAGCATTCTAAGTGCTAAACTTGCTTCAATATGATCATCAATCTCGCCAATGCCCTTGACATATCTAGTATTCCCCCTGCATTGTTAGAAAGCCTGAAAAGATCAATTATTAGCAGTATTCGAATTAATCTTAAGTGTTTAGGTCTCAACTCTTAACTGGCACAGACACCTGGATTTCGCAAACAGATTCATGCAATCATTTTTACTGCTGCTATGATATTATCACTTTCATTGTCTGGTTATTAACATGAAATTCAGTAAGGATACTGATGTTAATTACTACGATTGAAATTACTTTTTAGAAAGAAGCAATATTGCTAGACTGATGTTAATTATTACGATTACAATTACTTTTGAGAAAGAAGCAATATTGCCGGAATGCAAGCGTCCACCAAGAAGCATTCATGTTCACTGCAACATGTTCGAAACCAATCTTCGGCCGGTTTCCGGAAAAGAAAAGTGAAACAAGAAGTCGACAATGTATTTAAGCTGTGACATCTCGACTTCCCACTCCCAGTGGTCATCCTGTAACAAAATCATGACATCATCATGTCGTATGTTTATTTAGTCACAGTAGCGCAAGTCCACACCACCCGCGCTCGGTCCTACAACAATCCCAACCAGTACTGCCGAGTCGTACAGTTGGATTCACCACTTCTCGCCCCGTGTAACTCCTACTGAAACACAGGCGCGAAATTATTTGATTTGTGGCGAGCAGTTGACTCATTCGATGGGCCGTATTTTTGTTAACTTCGCGGATTATTCTGCTTTCTTACAAGTGGGGTTTGGCTGCTTGTTTTCTGTAAAAGTTAACGCTAACTGTTATTCTAGCTTCTACACTTCGTAATCTATCAATCCCATCTCAGTTACATCATTTTCCAGCAGTTAAACTTTATCCAACGGGGCGTTTCAGGACAATAATGACCAGAACTATTCCTATGAACCTAATTGTTGCCATGGATGACTGTGGAGGAATCGGACGAAATGGTGACATGCCATGGCAACTACCTGCCGAAATGTCTCGATTTGCCAAGCTGACTACATCAACAACAGACAGTGGGAAGAAGAATGCCGTGATAATGGGTCGAAAAGTTTGGGATAGTATACCCGCAAAATTTAAGCCACTGAAGAATCGTTTCAATGTCGTACTCAGTAGGAAGGTGCTTATTCGTTTCAATGTCGTACTCAGTAGGAAGGTGTTTTTTATTGTTCTAACTTTATTTCTGAAATTGTGAACAACGTAAAGTGCGCCTAAACAAAATTCCTGAGAAGATTAAACTGCTTTTTATAGTCTTTCGAGTGACCCAACTTTTTTCATCCCTTATAAAGCGTTGCAATTTACTGCGTCTCGTAACTTAGTTATGGTTTTTCTAGAAAGGTGGTCCTGGTCACTTTCGTTGTTATATCCCTGCGAAATCCATTTCAACAACGCGTGTAATGATAATGGCTCCGCTGCTTATTATATTTAGGTCTCCCAGAATAATCAAACTGCACTTTTTGTCCGGTCACTCCATTTTTTTCACTAGGTTATGAGTAGTCAGCTGGTTTCAGCAGGAAATACCCCTCCTTTAATAAGATCTACTCTAATTTAAAAAACAGATATTAGGAATTTTTCCTTCACTACTATTTTTATAGATGAAAGAAGTTACAAACGAGAATGTAGTAATTGCTCGAAACTTTGAAAGTGCACTCAGTCTACTGCAAAATATGGAGAATATCGAGACGATATGGAACATTGGTGGTCGAGAAATATATGAATTAGGGCTTAATTCACCATTCTTACACCAGGCAACTTTCTTATTGCTAATATTCAAAACTCTAACTTTTGGAAAAAAATACATCTGCGGATTGTGACACTTCTATGCTTTTATCGCGCTCACAACTCGCAATTATTCTTATATATATGAGAATTTTGCAGATGTATATTACTCGTGTGGAGGGTGATTTTTTAGCTGATGTCTTCTTTCCTGAAGTGGACTACAGTCGCTTCATGAAATGTCCAGAACCAGAAGAGGTGCAACAGGAGAAAGGCATTAAATATCGCTATGAAATATATACTGCTAAAACAGATGCAGTCGCTTGATACTTTGGTTCTTTGATAAGCTGTATTTTTGTCGGATTATCCAGCAATCTTTCCGTCTTTTCTTCCTATCTCTGCCTTCGGCAAAGTGTTTGAGTGATTTATCATATCATAAACTAATCCTGATCAGAAAAAGATTTGCACTATTTATATAAATTGCGTGACTGCAAAGTAATGTGATCTTACAGCAGTTTCTAGTTAAGAGAAAAATGAAATGTTAAAACCTGTTAAAACCAGATACATTGGTCATAAAGGGGAAGAAAGAATGCTCGAGATATTGAAGAGTTTTACTACGTCACTTATGTATGCAGTCAAATATATGAAAAATATCTGAATACATGTTGAAAAAAATTCTCAGAAATTTCATACTCAAATGCTCAATACTCAAAGGGTTTGTGCATGCAGATGGCTGAGAAGTTATACTTCACTGAGATGGATTTTAAAGAGGTCATCCAATTCAATTCTGTAACGATAGAAATTTTAGTATCTAAGGTATAGCAGCATTTCTTTTTGTGAGTTCTCGAAAGAACGTTATTCGCGCTATGTATATTGTAACATTTAATTACATTCCCAGAATATTCATAAACTTTTAACTTGCTTTTAAAAATATTGACATTATTTCTGGGAATTATTGTGATCTGATTTCTATCAAATAAAATCTCATGCGTCCGGAAATTATCCAATTTTTTTCATGTCATATCAGCTAATCGATTTTGTATTTCTTTCCGTTAACGATCGCAGAAGTGATTATCGTTTGATGATTGATATATTTTGAGATTATGCTACTATGGTATATGTTCTAGAACACTGGAAATCGAAAAAAAATACCAGCAACGGAAATGAAGAGTAGCATGAAATTTATTTACGAGCCACAGAGACTGCTAACTACACAACGTGAACAGTATGTGCGAGGTGGCATTCTCAATAGTAATGAGTAATTCTAAATCTGAAGTCTTTTTTCTGGAGTTACCCGAACCAGTCCCTCAGCATGCAACCCGCCTTTCGAACAACCCCTGTGGAGCAGACGTTGCATGACACACAGCGTCGTTTGTAGGTATTGGGGCCATCGTGAAATTTTTTGTTCTCAACATTTGACCAAGTATTGGTGTGAAGGATTGCAAGTAAGAAATTTCCCAGTGAGTCATCCCAGTTTGAATTAGTTTTTTTGTTGAATTATTTTCGTGAGAATACTCGGTAGATTTGTAACGTCCATAATATTAAACTTACTTTTGTGTAGTTCCTCTCACTTTTCGTGACTTTCTTTTACAGAGATTTCACTGAAATGGTGGGTAGAAAGAAGCGGAGTATCAGTACGAGGAATCATTTTGCTGAGGCAAATGTAAGTTTTATGGTGTCTTACAAGATGTTGATTGTTATCTGTTGGGAAATAACCCATCGATTAGCATCTATACTTTTGCAACATTCTTTTTTCTATTTCTAACCCATTTAGATATGGAAGAAATCAGTAGTAATTTGATATATTGTATTTGTTTCTGTCAGGATGAGGTAATATCGGATTATATTTGCAGTAACAGGTAGTATACTTTGCAAAGATTCATTATAAAAAAAAAAAAGTGGAATAGAAGTTTGGTGAAACATGTGTTAGAACATACGTGTTATTAAGAAAAGCTTGCTCATGTAGCAAGAAATACTGTAATACAAGGGGTAGCAGTACCAAATGACCTCTTGATACTTGTAATAAAATTAGGTTGGATTTTGCACTTCAAGAGTTTCAAGTCTGTTTGTATGTTTTGTTTTATTGTTTCTGTATTTGTTCAAGTTGTATTTTTTATTGTCTTTCTGTGACTCATTCTACGCTTTCCAGCACCATAGAATCCTTCTAAGAAATTCTCGTAATCTTACTAATTTTTGTCCAATATATATTTATAAGGGAGAATTTCATAGGGTGTACAACAGTACGGTACCGGTGATTTTGGAAATAGTAGCCAGTATCGTGGCCAGTTTTCGAACGTTAACAGTATGTGCCGTAATGGGAGCCTTGTAGACTCCGACTATTCCGCTATGACAACAACCTTTCACCGAAGATCAAAGCAGTACAACAATCATTTCAGTAACAAGAGTCAACAAAATGTTGTCAACAATAATACTGCGGTAATTCTTGTCAGAATCACCGTGATCTACCCATGAACAAATTGAGAGGAGATTACTGTTTTAGGACCAAAAGAATACATGCAATATGCAGTTACATCTAACAAATGAATTAGTCGGAAGACGCTTCATATAAATAATCGGTAGTCATGGGGACAGATGGTGGTTTATGTCGAATTATTATACTGAACAGTCTAGCATAATGACAGTCTAGTTCCCAAGACATTATGTTATTTGTAGCTGCAGGTAAATATGAATGGAAATTGTACAGCGCGCAGTGCAAGTCGGAAAACTAGCTCAACATCTGCCGGTAGTATTATTTCGGGCGACCCTGATGAGGATGGCTTTTTATCAGGATCAGGACAAGAAATTGAACCTGATGATTTACGGTGTACTGAAAGGCGAAGTGTGGCACTAATGACCGAAAAAGAATCGAGTTGCTCCGTAAGTACACAAACAGGTGAAAATTTTTTCTTTGCAAGAAAACGTTTGACCGATTCCTGTCATTTATAAGGAACTCAATTCATAGGAATTTTCCCGTAAAAATTAATGTCACTATTGTAATTGTTTAATGCTAACACTAAAATCTTTGTTGCCATTATAATTTCAATTTCATTAGAGCCACTTTATCACTTTTATGTCATATGCATAAGTTTGGTTTTAAGTTGATGGTACGAACTCAGATCTGTTGTTAGCTATGTGCAAGATGAAGCGTTCGCAACGAGTTGAAGCTATTGCGGAGGTGATCCAGTGCCTGAATGCTTATGAGCAAAGGTTGGCAGATACCATCCATTTACACTGCAAATCACTTGTCTCTGTTTATTGAGTGATGAATGGTTTGACACCTAGCAGTGTTATGCATTAAATAACAATTCCTGGTCATTCCGAATTATTGGATAATCCCAGATGTAATATCCGATCATGTTTGATTTTGGCTTCTGAAAAAATTGTGACATAGTTGTTTTTCTGTCAGAATGATCAAAGCTTTAGATAATCGATGTGGTACATCTCTTTATATTCAAATTACACTGTTTAATTCATTCATCGCTTGTCAATTATCGAACAAATGGATTAATCAAATTAGTTGTGGATTATGCTGTTTAATCCATTCATCGGTTGTTCAGATGTAGGATAAATGAATTAATCAAATTAGTTGTTTATTATCCTTTAGTCTGTTTCTAACAATTTATTTACATTTACCTTTAGTTTATTTATTTTTATTCTACATTTCACAACAGTGTCGTGTAATCGTTTTACTCTTCTGTTATATCTTTTTATTTATAGATACATAGGTTCATGCGTAGAAACAGCTGTGCGTTCAAAGTCGTTGTATCTACGACAGTATGAATTGCGCTACAATGATGTTTATTTTTTGCAAAATTTCGTAGAATCAGCATCATGCAGTCGACTTCTGGAACTTGCCTTCCCGATGCTGTGCCTTTTACATTCTACAAACCGTCCAGCAGCTACTGCCTATATGCGGTGTGTTGCTTTAGCTCTTTCAGAAATTCTTATTCTGTTTTCAACCAGACACTTTATTTTTATTTTGTCAGGACAAATTCCTATTTTTAATCTCATATTACCTATTCTTTAATCTTATACAAGTAAATTACTCATCAAACCAAACAATCCATGCTTTTTAGGCTAATAGAGCGGCTGTATGATGAACTTATTACTGCATCTGCTAACAGGTCGCCTTTCGAAAAGGAGGAAATGTTAGATTCGGTTAGATACTTCTTTTTATATCAAACTACAAATTAGTTTTTTAAATCTAAAAAAAGAAGATTTATTGTGTGTCCTAATCACCAGGAAATGAGCCAGATATTTAGGGGACTCTTCAATAGATTTTAGGTCTCGCCTAAAAGAATTGAATCTTACTGCAGGAGAGATTTCTGCGCACTAAATTGTGAAGCATACTTATGTTCTTAAGATGAGAAAGTGAGGAAACTTGCAATAAATGTGGTAGCTGCTGAAAAGAGATACAAATCTGTTATGTTTGCTTAAATCTGATATATTTACAAATCTGCTATCTTTACTGATATGTAATTTTATGTGGATATAGGTATTGTTTTTTTGCAGTTGCTTATGGTGGTTTCCGCAGCGCAACATCATGCAGCTTTTTCTGTGGACCATAAAATCAGGCTTGAAAATATTCGAACATGCTTAGGAACTTTGTCCTCTCAACCGGCTGCTCCGATTGAGAAACAGGTGGTTCATAGACTAATAGCATTCCTTTAATCAGCAGCTATAATTTGATAATGAATGCCCAACTTGTCCTGCTACTAAATAGTCCGTCCTTCGTGATGCTACGATATTTGCTTTATGTTTGTGTTTACTGTATTGTAGCCAGTTTCTTTCTTTTCATCCTCTGCATGGATTTTGAAATTGGTGTATGTCTCTTTAATGCATATTTTTTATTAGTTTTGCAAACGAGGCATAGCTTACCATCGAATCTGACCGTTCTATGGTATGTTCTATGTTATATCAAATCTTATATCTGTATCCATTTTACAGAGTTGCGAAGCTTCTACGTCTGAAAATGACGATGTACCGGTTGTCATATCTCGTTTAGACGCTGAAGTTACGAATGACGATTCTTCTCCGAATATATTTTCAATAGCGGTGCAGTTTTCTGAACACTTTTCTCAATAATAATATATTGTGAGTGATCATAACCGTACAGGGCTTCCTCTGTTCTTGTCTCTTTAACCACTTGTTCATTCCCCAATGCTGATAATGAGGAAATAGTTTATTAAATGTAAGTATAGTAGTCTTTTTTGAGATGTAGTCTTTAGCACTGTTCTAAAATATTCATCATCGAATCTGATTATACCATATTTCTTTTCAGATTGAATGGAGTGATATGAAAACGTCTTATATTGTCAGGACGGCTGATCAAATCGCTGATTTGCACAATCGTCTGTTGGATAGTTTCCCGAGTGAAGCAGGGGCTCAGACGGGGAATCCTCGCGTTCTCCCATATCTTAATCGTTCGCAGCCTAGTTCTATTTTGGGCTACATTCGGTAATTTATTGTTTTTTTTTCAGGACTGATGCCGAAAACGAAATTTATAGAACTTTCGAAATCTAGTGAGAAACTAGTTCACTGGAATTTTTTTTTTTAGAACACTTGAAATGCTTGCGGTAAGCATGCGGTATTAGTTACTAAAGTTATTGTGTTATACTTACTGCCGAACGTTGGTTGTTATGTCTTATACTTATTGTAGAATGATTTTAATAAAGTTGCTGAAGTTGGAATTTATTGCAGTGCACTACCAGATCTTCCAGCTCGTGTTTTGGTTTGTCCTATAGTGCGCGATTTCTTTTATCCATCCCGGTTAGAAAGCTGTTCACTTTTTTCGGCTCCTCAGTCGTTAATATCACGTTCTTTGCCTTCTCTTATTGATCTGAAAGTAAGATCAGTACTTTTTATTCATAATAATCGGTTTAAGAGGGCGATGATGATATCATCTAACCTATCACAAAAAATAGGATTTGTAAGACTATTCTGGAATTATACATGAATGCATGAATGCAGCCCAGCTGAAGGGTTTGGAAGGTCAAATTATACTATCCTTTGCCTACCACGTCATGACAACAATTAACCGTTGTAACAGTAATGTTTTATGCTAAATTCCAGCTTTCCTCTGCCCTTCACTTTTTCGGCGAAAATTTTATCGCCTTAACATCTACATTCTCATAATTTCATGCTTTGTTTTGTCTTCAATTGTGATTTCAAAGTCATTTATTTTATTTTCAGAAGCCTCTAACAAGCAGTAGCACTCCTGCGCCGTCCAATCTGCCCTTACCCGAAGTACCTGTGTGTCATCCGTCATTATCTGTCACATTTTTACCCGTAACAACTGTTTGTTCTGCTGGTTTGATGGGTTGTACAAGTGTAGCCTGTCCACCATTCTCGATGACAAACGTACCTCCGCCACCTCGTGGCCCACTTTTATCACTGACACGGCCACTCTCCCTATTAGCTACTACCGCCAATGTCCCAGCTTATTCGTCGCTACTTTCACTACCTCCAAATCCCAATGGGTTATCATGTTGCAATTGTGCTGGTCGTCATCCCTTTGCATATTGTACCCAGCCAACGATGCTACAAATTATCGCAAGTGGTAAGTTTTCAGAACTGGTATTGAATTAGGATGTCTGAAATAATTAGACGATCAACATGAAATTTTGTTAGTAAAATAACAGAAAAAATTATGTAGTAGTGCCGTTCATTTCTGGGTCATTTAGTTTCTTTCGAGAAGCAGAAAATAATAAGAATGTTGATGGTAGTGGATTAAATATCTATAAAAATCTTGAAATTAGATTGTTATTGTATCATGAATTGCGCTTCTCATGTATATTGTTCCAAATATGCATATTAACCGTTTTATACTTTATTTACGTCTGAAATAAATTAAAAGCTAACTAATTCGAATCAATCAAAGTGGAACGAAATTGCAGGTGAATACAGAATTGATTATAACAATATGACAACAAGTATGAATTCCACCACTCTGCCATCCGAGATGACAGGAAGTGTTGCATCAGTTAATAATTCCATTTCACCACCATCGACAAAATTTTCAACACCACCACCGGCTCCAAATTCCTACTGATGATGTAGGGGGCTGGGTTTGTTGCGAAAGTATGAAAATTGTTTTGTTTATTAGGGTGTGCCTTTTGCTTTATTTTCGATTGCAACAATTTCTGTGATTTTTTCCGGGTTCTGAAATTGGTTTTCATGTCGTTTGCGATAGAGAAAATCAACGACAATATAGCATTTTATAAAAGCTTTTTATTTCGTATCGATTTTTTCATGTATTGGATTTTCCCAACTTCTTTTCAAGTATTAATTCAAGATAGAATAGTTTTTTATCATTCAGGACGTCGGTCCAATTTTTTGGCTTCATCGAACTCTTTTAGATTATTTAGAGTTAGCTTTTTTTTTTTAATCATGCTGAGTATGAAAGAGTGAAGCTGTCCGCCATCATTTACTATATTTTTTAAAATTTTTTTTAAAATTGGAATCCTACTGTCATGTCTTCTTTTATGTATTTGTTAAATGAAATGGAATTTTATCAAAATTGAGCATATGGAAATCGTATAACCTGTCATTTGCCGCTTAGTTTTTCCTGTTTGATTATTGCTCATTCATAGTTGGAGAATTCATTTTTTCAATTTTATTCTTTATTTCCAGTTGTTTCATTGGACGGACAGTTTTTTTTATTTCATTTTGAATTTCTTTATAATTATATATTGAAATTAGCAAGTAATTGAAGAAGAGAAGGATTATAACGGTAATAAGCTGTGCAGGTGACTTCATAAGTTTGGTGGCTTAATTTAATTTACCGCCCTGAAGAGTATTTGCACAAGTAAGCATTTTCGAAATTTTTCCATATTCACTTTCTGATCTTACTCAATGTAGTTCATTTCTGCTACTGCGGAAATTTTATTTAGTATCTCGAAAAGATAATGATAAGCAATGATGCATCTCTTAGTTTCTCTTTACTATATTTCATTTAATTATTTAATTTTTCTTTGCATCGTGCTAATCTTTTTAAGTGGTTGCGTTATGTTACAGACTTCTTTTTCTGAGATGCACTGAAAATTTTTTTTATGTCGTGATTTTCTTCCAACCTTTTAAATTTCGCAACTGGAGTTTTCCTTGTTAACACAGAGTTGTTTTAGATCTTTTTTTTCCCCAAAAATTTATATATTCCATCATTTTAATGTTATTGTTTAAGAATGATAATGATGAATTTTGCTTGATTCCGTTTGTGAGGATTAGAATTTATGTGATTTTTTCTTAAACTTCTTTTTTACTTTAAATGAATTTTTAAAAACTCCAATTATTAAAGTTATGAGTATTTGTGAATAGGTTATCCGATCACAAGGATAAGAATTATTAGCGGAAATATGTATAGGAAAATGACTGCGCATGAAATGTTGCGGCAATGAAGTTATTTACTGATACGTTGGTAATTTTACTTGGACCGTATACACAGTTATTCAAATCTATTCGAATTTTATGTGGGTAGCAGCAAACTATATGTCTTGTTTCTTTTAGGTCTCGATGAGCATTATAAATATAGCTTCATTCATATGCTCGTATCTGTTGGTATAACATTTTTATCATAATATTTAGTGATTGATTTTATTGTTTTGGTGATATTTATTGTTTTTCACTGATATCTGAGGGAATCCCGGTGTACGACTAGATTCCAGCAAGACATTGGCTAAAGCTTGAATAGATTTGTCAGTCTGTCAATAGTTCTCTGGTAACTCAAAGATTCTTCGGTGTATGAAAAGTTTCTCAGTTCTTGTAATGGTAACCAATTTCTACAAGATTTTCGAACGATGTTAGTTTAGATGTTGACTGACTTCACTCCTCTCACATTTCGAAAGATTCGAAGAGAACCTTGCTCTATTTCAAAGTCAAAGTGAAATAGAAAAGAGCTTTTGTAAGATCCAGGATGGAAGGTATAATTAAGAAACACTGGTTGAATACGACAGTAGTGACAGCAGTATTATAATAAGTGGTGAATCCTCTTCTCACTGCAATATTCGGTACACAGTTTGGGCCCTTTATTTCAAAGTTTTCACTGGTTGCAAATTTTGTCTAGTTCAGTATTTCCCCATGCAGAATGCATCAGTTTTGTAAGTCTTTGTCCTTAAATTATTCATATTATTCTATTTTTGAACATCTAAAAGCTTTCATGTCTCTGCATGGATGGATGGATGTGCACATGTGTCCATGTTTCTGTTGATTTCTTGAATGATGCTTTCAGCCAGAAATGAAAATTAGCATTTTGTTTCGTTAAATGTCTAGTTATACAGAAAACAGTGCTAGCTTCTTTGCTTCACATAAAATTAGTAACATGTTTTGAAACATAAAATATATTTGAGTTCGTATCATTTTATGACAAATAGTAGTTACAGCGTATGCTTATCGAAGGGTATGGATAAAGTAGGTAGGTACGTTACTGCGACACAGACACTGGAAACTGTAATAGGTATATTAAGGGCACTGAATTTTGTTTGTTATTCTAAATTTAAAATCCTGAGATCGCAAATATGGTGAAGAGACTAGGTTTTTGGTGTGATTTACCGGAACTACTAATAGATGTGAAAATGTGACTGTTGAAATATGGAGAAACTTTTAAATTTTGAAGAACAAAAATTCATTGTGTTTAACAGAAATGATTCGATCGCTTCTTAACTGTTCATGAAATAACGGTACAGACGGGTTTTGTCGGTCGGATCAGAAAAATATTGAGCAATCGGAATCGAAAAATGGATTAAAGGAACTGTTACTGCAATCCGTTCTTTCCTTGCTGGTATTTTCTTCGAAGGTTGCAACTGAGTGGCATACAAATTTATAATTTCCACCACAGTTGCTATCCCAGTATGCCATCCCGCCACATTCATACCTTATACAGAAATAAATGCATAGGTCGAGTTTTAAGAATGGCAAGAATATGCAGAATGAGAATCGATCTTCTTGCGGCGACGGTGATCTGCAAGTTAAAATCATTATCTATCATGAGTAATAAACTCGGTATTATAAGTGGTAAAATGCTTTATTCAAATTCCATTCCATCGAGATGGTCTGCTGTAGTAAACAAGTTCCCAAAATCGCACTGCTTAAGTTGATGTGATTTTCCGAGCTATAGAAAACTGAGATTTAATAGGGGAGTTCTGTTAGTTCCTCAATTTTTTCTTCTAATTAGACATAGACAGAAAATGAAAGTTACTATCTCAGCTGCCTGCCAAAGCCCTCTCTGATAGCTTGACTTTCACCAAAAACTGACAATCAAAAGCTACTAGAATTGGAAGAATCAGTTGTACGGCTATCCTTTTCGAGGTATCTTAGTTCTCTTTGTTCGTTAAAATCCTCTCTTCAGAGAAAATTGCAATGGCTAAGCTAATTCAGTAGATTCACTGAAATGGCAAATACTTACTCTGTATAAGCGCCTTTTATAGTGTATGAGGTAGTCCAGTCGTCAAAGGTATACAATATTTCTATCTGCAAATTTTTTAGCATAATTTTACCTTAAAAGTTGAAGTACAACATTTGGAAGACATTTTAACCAGTTCCTAGAATTACATTATTACAGAGTTTAGTTACATATGCAACTATTAATTAGTGCAAAATTAACCCGGACAAACACAATGTTCCACATTGGCTTCAGGATTAAACTACGACAAATTAACAGTAGTAACAACGATAAAATTGCTGGCTAGTTATTAGCAACTTCTTTTTACTATCGTTGAACAAAAACATCGAAATATCGATTGAAGAGTTAGTGATTCTAAAATCCCTACATATAAACAGAATCGGTATTGGTGATGTTGGTAAAAATACCCCAAGCTTGTCTCAAATAATCACTGCTTATTTTTTTAAAATATACAGACTTTTTTTTCATAACCCAAATTCTTCACCCGAACCACACCGGTGATACCGCGACCAAACCATCGAACACTTTCCAAATGAACGCACTGCTCACCGACCAACCATCTCAGTTCATTTTCTGTTGGTAACCAAAAATATTTTTGTAGCTGCAATTCCGAAACTGAAAATTTTTATTCGAGAAATGCGTAGATTAGAAAACACTTATAACAATGGTTCATCAAGACTGGGAAATCTCGCATTTCTGACTTTTGAAAATACTGTCGTTCATATTGCTCGAGAACTAAATCAATTTAACCGACCTCTTCCTTTGAATTCCCGTCCTTTTTAGAAATTGAGGTGAGTATTGAAATGATCTAATGATATAAAGTTTGGAGCTGATCTGAGTGAGCATACGTTAAAAGGTTTCTTAATACCTTCCCGATATATTTCAACAAAAAAAAAAAAAAACAACACAAACACAGTACTATGCTGACGCAAAGAAACCTCACCGATGATTTTCAGCAAAGTTACTGATCGTTTTAAATTTTGTTATACTTTCCGAAATGTTTCGAGAAGTCAATCAAAATCTCGAGAGAGCTTTTTTTTCCGGACAAACAAGAGAAAAAAAGAAACTACTGACAAATGACTAGAACTCATAAAACTTGTTCCTCACCATCAATGCTGGATTACTTTCCTGAAATACTCCTTGAAGTTGGGAGCTTTGCCAGAAGGCTTTTATTGCATCGATTGATAAATCGTTTTTACTCTTTACGTTAATTCCATATGTTATCAATGCTTTCTTGGGGATTATCATTGTTCACGCTCGAATCGAACATTCTGAACTTTTTTTTAACTCGAATTGGGTTGTTCAGATGTCAGTACTAACGAGCGATGAAACAGTTGGAAAAGAGAGAGGAAGGAAAAGGAAGTTTTTTTTTTTTGCTTTCCTGGGTTCTTTTCAAAAAAAAGAACCCGTACATTTCTGAAAACATCTCTGATAGGAAAGTAAAAGAGTACTAACCAGAACTACAAGGCCGATTGATTACCATTTGATACTTCTTACTGTACTTTTCCGCTTGCGTATTGATAGAGTATTCCGCTTGTTCCAAATCAAAGCAGTCCGAAAATCGCACATTTTTCTTGATTCTTCGTCGCTGAGTTGACGATGTGCGTTCGCTTTTACATCGCAATCTTCAAAAGTATGGAATGAAATCCTATACCAGCGATGATTCGAAAATTATCAAACACTCTAGTAAAACGTAAAAATTTTCCCTGGAATTTCTTTCAAAAACTAAACGAAACATACGTTATTTAAAAGAATCCATAAACTTTTCCGGTGCGATTTTTTTCACAGATTATAATGAGGATAAGACTTGGTATCAAAATGAGTCTTGACAGAGGGTTTGAGAAAGCAAAAAGAAATTAATGACTGAAAAAGCGATAAGCTCACATTCCTCCAGCCGATTTACCGTTATTGCAGATAGTCGTATTGTTACGATCACCAATTTTGCTCAAAACACTATCACCACAACCGATGTTAACCAGCATCACCCCAACAGCTGCCAATACACTCTTGCTGAGTGATCTATTAGACTTGTCTGAGTGTATGTGTATTTTGAAGTTCAACTCTTCTGTCGTTTTTCATACGAAGTCTTTTCTCACCTGACATGACTTCTTTCTGAAACTTGTCGCTTTTCATACGGCAGACTACTGGATTTTCCACTTTGCCAATCCCAAAACTTTTAGCGGAAATCGAAGTAAACACCCCTCCCTCGATCACTGAGATTAGTGCGAGAGCTATGCAACGTCAAATGATGATACAAATACCTCAAAAAATTCAAGCAAACCAAGAAACAACGTGAATTGATTGCTAAAATGGTCGTGTTAAATGGAGAGAAGTTTGATTGGAATGCAATATGAGCCTCTTCTGGGACTGCACACATGGTACATCAACAATCAGCTCGAAGTATGTTGCGACAAATGATTAGACAGTCATGCATGAAGTAAAGTTTCTGAAAAATATTGTACCTAAATGCGGAAAATTCGTTGCGTTTGAAGACGAAAAATGTTCCTAATTTTACAAATTTTTCCGCTTTTAATGCAATGTTCGATTTAAAAACAAAGTTTCATTAAAAATCAAAAAACTGCATTGGTGACACTGAAGGAAACAGACCCCGAATATCAATTAGAATTTAAAAAAAGAAAACAACGGTAGTAACAATGTGAGGCTGATGGGAGCAACGAAAAATATTTCTTCGGAGGTGATTTATTATTCAAGTCCAACTCTTTAGAAAGTGTTCATAAAGGGCTCAGAAAACAATAATGTCACCGAATGGTCTATTCATTCCGTATAGCAAATCTTCTGATGGTAGGGCGATAGCATAACAGAACAAGAAACACATAACGCCAACTGTTGAACCGTACCCTTGAATCCCTTCGGTCTAAGTCAGGCAGCTGATATTCAAGAGGTACTCTGAGAAAAATCAAACTTGGTCCATCAGAGCGGAAGTGGTTCGGCAACAAAGGTGAAATAAAGTATGACACCCAGCAATTTGTATTACGATGCTAATCACGGTATGAGGTTAACGGTTTGCTCCTCGAGTTTGAAGCTATAAAATCATGTTCCCCACGCGTACTAAAATCCAAAATATTCGATAAAGAACTCGATGCACAAATAGTCGTATCGACACGAGAATGTACACTAACTAAAATCCAAAATATTCGATAGAGAACTCGATCCACAAATAGTCGTACCGACACGAGAATGTACATTACACTGATTACGTGATTCAAGCGAACAAATTGAAATGTTACTTCTTTACATGAAGTAGATGTCAAGACCACATAAACTTATCTCGAGATGTGTATTTGTTAAAGCACCAAAAAACTCCAAAATTCAACAAAAATTACGACAAGTAAATGAAGAAATTGAATCCAAATCTCCATCTCATATATGCTTTGATCGCTATTAAATTCGACAGAAACTAAAAACAAATTGTGTTGGTTTGCTGGAATTACCACTCACAATAAGGTCATTTTTGACAAAAAACTAAAAATTTTGAATCGAAATGAAAATTAGAAAAATTTAAGACTGCCAGATAAACAGAGGAAAAGACAGATGAAAATGAACAACAAACACAGAGAAACTTATTTGAGATCAGAAACGTCAATCTGTGGATGTTTGCCTTTTTTCATATATTCGTCGAGCTCCTTATCCAATTCCTCCCTTGTTACGAATGATCGTTTAGTGCGGTTAAAATTACTACTGGATAAATTACCACCAATAAAACGACCACCTCGACCATGAAAAGCACGATTTCGTGGAAATACATTATTTGAACGCCAAAGCATGCGGCTGAAACTATTTCGCGTGAAACGCGTGTTTCTGCTCGCATATCGTAACGATCCGAAAGGACGAGGCCTAAAATAAACATGTATAACACACAAAAACGAATTTAGTTATTAAAATAAGCAAAAATACAAAAACACAATTATTTAAAAGAAAAAAACATAATTATAAAAAAATAGTCATTCAGAACAACTTCTTTAACTGCACCCATAAATATAATTTAAAAAATGTGTTTACAATTCTAGCTAAAATATTTAAAACCATCCACTCACTCATTAGGCTACAAGATATTTGAATCCTCTGGCTGATCAGAAGCAGTTTTTCCGGTTAGGCAGCTCGTTTAACCATTATACTGCCATTTCTACTTTGATTAACAACCAACGAAATCATACCTGTCAATGTTAACCTTACGCACGAAACCATAGTTGAATTTATTGCGCCAGTGTGGAAAACTGATACGGTTACGAACTGGAATACGAGAAAAACGAGCGCTCTGGTAAATTCCCAACTTGCGCTTTGGTATAATGCGGACTTGTTCAACGTAATTCGCCGTTGCTTCTATACCATCTTCGTCAACTGTATCATAATCATGTGGTAACTGAAATATCTTCACTTAAAAGAAAAACTTGGAAGAAAATTTACATTAAACTACTAAATAACAGAATGACTATTGAAATTTCATTAATAATTACTATAGTGATTAGGGACAAAAAATATGGTTATAAGACCGAAACCACTATGGCCAACACCAAAACTTATAACACAAGTAGTACTTTGAAACTCTGCGAGCCTCAGATAAAGTAGGAAGAAAGAGAACTCTTTTCCTTCCCAACCCAAAAACCTTGGGAAGCTTCAAGAGGAATAAATTCGCATAAAAACTGAAACCTTCATGGATCTGAGAGGGAGATTTTTTAAATGCTACAACGGCTAAAAATATTTTAAAAGTAAAAGATGCTGAAATTTATCCATCTTTGATGCCACATATCATCTTTACCTTACACGTAATAAAATTAGCTACGACCATGAAAAACATAGCTTCTAGGTAGTACAGTATTTGAAGTACGAAAATATGTTGTCGTGATAGAAAACATCAACTTACTTCGATATCATCAACATATAATGGACGCCGACTTAAAACCGGTTCACGATAGTTTTGTTCGGTATTAGCACTGTTGTAGCTTCTTACTGGGGCAACGCTGTGTCGTAATTTGGGCACCGGAACTTGGGAAAACCTGCATGTAGCAAAATAAGTAACAATAATTTGAAAGAGTGACGCTCAAGAGGAGGCTAATTCGAAGAACTCCAAACAAAGGATCGTATAAAAGTCAGAGCAATAAGCTGACCTTTCATTCAAGGATATTTTTGAAGTTCCCATGAGAACTATTCGAGATGGTACTGATGCTGTTTCCATTACCAACGCCTTTAATTGGACAGAGCATACGTCCCAACGTAATATCTGGAACTCAATCAAATGTACCATTCGTAACAGCAAAGGGAAACAAAGCGGAAGAAGTGACTTAAAGATGGAATTTGCGACAGCCAGCAAGTTATGCAACTTTCACATAAAACATGTCTCGGACTGCATTAATCAGCATGACAATAACCCAATTAAACGGGAAATAATCAAATTTCTTTTTAAAGAGGACAAGTAATTCCCTTCCTCACCAATATCGCCAGAGCTTTAATTGTTCCCACCAGTACCACCCTCGAACAGTAAATATATAACGAAGCGAAAATAGCATATCGCGACAAGCTATCATCCAGCCTATACCACTAATTAACGCAGCCCATGACATGCTGCGTTGTATCCGAGCACTTTGAATCGAACTGAGATTGTTTGGAGGACTTCGCTGTTTGGTTTTAGTTGTGGGACAGCAAGGTCTATTAGATGATTGAAGAGTTAGTTGCCAATGCGAGTCTCTTTCGCATTTATTGCTTGTACCACTGATAAAGAACTGCTACTCATTCAGCACAAAATATTAAGGAAATGCGGGACGTATCAAAAAGCGAACTGCTTCAATAGACGAAAAGCTATCAGCGCGACTGTTTGTTTATTTTAAAGTTGACTTTCGTCGGAGATAGTAACACACGTTCTCGATTCTTAGAAGATCTCAAGGAAACAATATATCTATCTGTTTATGCTTATGTCATATATGCAAAAATACATACGCTTCACATTTCATTCTTCGTTTTGTTTTTATTGCTGTCATTTTTTAGTTTATTCCACAAATTCGAAGACGTCTACAACGTGTTCATTTGCATATATACACACTGCTTCAGAGCCCTTTTATGCTGTATTTAAGTCATCTTTTACCGGTGACATGTTGTCATGCTTTTCAGTCTAGTTTTCAGTTGGCAGTGTTTGAAATGAGTGTCGTAGGTAACATTAATTAATGTGAATGGTGAGGGATAAAGAGTGCTGAAATATGGGAAAAAGGTCAGTCTCTCTCCCTGAGGTCGAAAGCATCATCGCTCGGTCATTGTTATGATTGCTAAGCGGTCATCTGGGCGGTGTCAACCGTTCATCCGTCTTACTAATCTTTTGTGGAGATTGTCAGTGTAAGAACCTCAGTTCGGCCCCTACCCGTGTCACTAAACAAGTTCGGTTTCAGTGTCTCTTTTCTCTTCTTTTGTATTTAACCTCCCTTTTTTGTTTGTCCATCTGATGCTCATCTCTTTCTTTCTGTTTGTCCATCTAAAGCCCATCTTCTCGTGTTACTACCAATAACAGATGTTGTCGTGTCCATTGATTACTCTTCCCTCCATTACTATCAGTAGAAGGGGCTTTCCTGTTACTGCTATTAGGGTACTAACCCTCATCGTGGTCTCTTTCTTCCTTGTGAATCTTCACTCTAATTTTTGTAAAACTTGACCTTTGGCTACTCTTTAAATGACCTATACACTTCCTCCCACTTTTTATTCCTTCTCCCTTTTCATCATGGATTTCCATATGTGTCTTCCACTTTTTATACAAATTCTGTTTCGACTTAGATGAATGTAATTTCAGTTGGTGAAGCCTTTAATTTTAACTACTTTGTAACTAAAGAATTTTTTTTCCTTTTCTTTAGTGAGATATTAGCATAAAAAGGTTATTTTGTCCCTGCTTACGGTACTGTACACTAATCATTGTTTGTCTACTATAGTGATCACAGTTCTCACTAATTCCTTTTGTCTCTTATTTATTTTCTGCAGCCAATCATTGTAAAAATCACGAGCTGTGTTTCACAAGTTCTAATTCACCCTCACCTCATCTCTGTTACCTTTATATACAGAAAACATTGAATGCTGACCTTTATTTAGTTAGAAATTGGTCACCTACCCGATGAATGATTTTGTGATTTCTAGCTGTAATAGTTGTGTCCAGTCAAATTCTCGAATCTCCGAATTCTCACGGGATAAAATTTTGCGATGCAATTCTTGCCTTTTACTTTTCATCTCTCTAGTTCCCTTTAAAATAGTCGGTTGTCTTTTATTAGTTTGATGAGCATTAATTAGAAGCAGTGGAGTAAATTACGGTTTTGATCAAAATTTGATATTATATCAGTGGTACTTGAAGACCGAATCGCTGGTTCCTATACTTTTCAAAGAAATTCAAAAAACAATCAACAGTGTCAGTTAGCAGTTTGCCCTGACCACAGAACAGTTCATTGACTCATCCGTTATATGAATCACTGCTGACCGGAGACCCAAATATTTTTTTAAACAGCACTGTTCAGTATGGATAAGTGTTGAATTTTGGTTTTGATTTTGTATCAAGTGGAGGAGTTGTTTCTTTTGTTAACTGAGAGAGCTGTTTGTCTTTTTTGTAAACGGATGAATTGGGTTTCTGATCACATTTTTGCAAACATAAGCAATGAATGATGAATTTTGCGTAACTTTAGTTAATTAAAATGTTAATCAGAAGTCCTAATCTCATTCATCGCTTGCCATTTCTTTTCTCACTGTTATCACTGTACGGACGATCTTTCTAATAATCGTTGTTACTTTTATTTGAATTTGTGAACAGCACTGAACAGATATAGTGAGAGCTACTTCGTCAGCGAATGTTGATTAATAGGATAGTCATGTCCTCTATTTTAGATATTTTGGCGTTAATGTTCTCATTTTCTTACCTGAAATTCGTTATTCGTACCTTGAAATTCTCAGATTTCATAAATTACAGGCCAGAAAAGAAATGGTGAAGTCACCGAAACATCGTTCGTCTTCCAATAAAAAGTCACCCAGCAAAAATTCCCAAAGTAAGGATTCCAGTCTGGCACGTACTCAATCCCGGAAAACGTCACGTTCCCGTAGTCGTAGCCGCAGTACCCATGGTACACCGCGTTCACGTTCCAGTTCTCGCGGTCGTCGTTCGTCTTCGAAAAAGAAGACTGTTTCTCCAGTAGTCAAGAGATTGGACGATTCAGTAGCGGACATCAAGAAAGTTATTCCTTTATACCGGAGTTCGAAAAATGACTCGAGTTACAAAATCTTTCCATTTTCGGATAAAGGAGTACGACGACGTCCCCTGACTGTGAGCTTACTAAAACCGATAAATGTGAACAACTTGAAGGTCAAAGGGATAAAGTTTAAGCAACATATCTTTGTTCACTGTAAGCGGTTCTCACGTTACTATGTAATCTTGTCGATGCTTGGATTAATCGCCGTGGGAATCTTTTACACGGGATATACCGTTGATCAGATGGCGAAATATGTTCGTGAACCTATCGACATTATGACGGCATATGTTCAAAGACGCGCTTAAGGAAGACGTGTGGTACTGTTGGTATCTGTAGAGGGCTTGGTAATTTAGCCTAATTATCATGTGCTGCAGACCGACTCTCCGTCCATTAAAAACCCAATGACAGAAGATATTTTGAGGTTTCAGTAGTTTTCAAGGCGTTTTATTATTGAAAAATGGTGAATACCACGGTTTGAAAGATCCATTTTGTTACAGAATCTCTCGTTGTGGCTTCTCGCTGCTGGCTAAGATAGGCTGTACCAGTTAGATTCAAAATTCGGTTTTTTCCTGGTAATCCTGAGTAATATTTTGTTTTATCGTTTTTTCATTTTCGAGAAAGCAACACAGTACTTAAAAACATGATTATCGATTGATTCAGCCATTGTTTATATTACCTGCTGCTGTTTGAGAACTTTACAGTCGTGGTGTACATTCAGTGATTTTCTTTTGACTAAATTTTTTTTTTTTGAGAAATTTTCGTCTGTAATTTCAGTACTGTTAATACTGTTTGCAATGTGCAGATATATTTCAGGAAAAATATATTTCTTTATATATTTTTTTGTAATTTTTTGTTCTTTACTTTTACTCAATTTCTTTTTTTACTTTTTTTCACTCAGGTTTATTATGTTTTTCATTCTTTTCGGATTCTACCAGACGAACCTCAGGGATGTGTATAGCTTATTTTGAATTAATGGAAAATATTTTTTAGAATTAGTATAGATATCCTATATATAACTTATCTTTCGTTCCACTTTATCAATCAGTTTGTTGGTCAGTGTGAAATCAGTTCATCGTCACGCCATATGTTAAATTTGAACTTTGTTGTAAGCGTGATTTTTTATATTGTGTGCTCTGCATATGGTTGTCTATTATTCTTATTTGTATTTTCCCATTTTTTTATCATAATTAGAATGTGATTAGCTATAACAAAATGAATCAGGGATGATTTTATAATGGAATTGTTTTTTCCATTTTCCTTTGTAACTGGAAAAATTTTTTTTCAAATTTCCTGTCCCTTGTAGCTTGAGCCTTTGTTGTAAGCGTGATT